AAGAAAGGAAGGGAAGAGAGAGAGGAGACAGAAAGAAGGAAAGAGAGAGAGAGAAAAAAAAAGAGGGACCAGAGAAGGAAGGAAGGAAGGAAGGGAGGGAGGGAGGGAGGGAAGGAGGGAGAGGAAGAGGGAACAGATGGAGGGAGGGAAAGAAAGACAGAAGAAAGGAAGGGAGTAGAGAAAGTGAGGAGACAGAAAGAAGGAAAGAGAGAGAGAGAGAAAGAGGGACCAGGGAAGGAAGGAAGGAAGAAAAAGAGGGAACAGGTGGAGGGAGGGAAAGAAGGACAGAAGAAAGGAAGGGAGGAGAGAAAGTGAGGAGAAAGAAAGAAGGAGAGAGAGAGAGAGAGAGAGAGAGAGAGAGAGAGAGAGAGAGAGGAAAGAGAGAGAGAGGGGGGGGGGAACCAGAGAGAGAAGGAAGGAAAGAGAGAGAAATGGAGAGAGGGAAGGAAGGAGCCAGAGGAAGAATGGAGGAAGGAAGCGATAAAAGAGAGACACAGAGAAAGAAAAAAAAGAAAATAAATAAATGAAAGAAAGAAAGAAAGAAAGAAAGAAAGAAAGAAAAAAGAAAAGAAAAGAAGTAAGATAAACCGCATGAGTCTTTACTTTCCTGAATGAAGGGGCAGACTAGACTTTCAGTTTTGAAACTTGGAATAAGTCCAGAGCATCCCAGCAGGGCTGACCAGGCGTATAAAAACCAGAAGTCATACAAGGGGGGGGAGAGGAGGGGCGGAGGGGCTAGAGGGAACCAGGATGCTCAGTCTGGAGAAGAGAATCTGGGAGCGTGGGCGCCTGAAAAGTTTCCACATGAAGAAAGAGAAGGCATTTCCTGGACTTTTGTGGGTTTCCAAAAGGGGCTGCCATAAAGGAAGAGAAGACTCCCTCCCACCCCCATTACAATCCGCTTTCCCACGCCCCTAAGAGAACTAGAATTCCCAAATAGAAGTCTCTATGGTTCCCCTTTGCACCCACGCATTTATCCCCATATTCAGTTGCAAATCTTTCCACACAAAAGAACTGCCACCTACACCGGTGTTTCCCAACTTTGGCAACTTTAAAATGGACTTCAACTCCCAGGATTCCCCAGCCAGCCAACAAGGCTGGCTGGGGAATTCTGGGAGTTGAAGTCCACCCGCCTTAACGTGGCCAAGGTTGAAAAACAGTGATACCCTATACCAGGGGTCTTCAAACTTGGCCCTTTTATGACTTCTGGACTTCAGCTCCCAGAATTCCTCAGCCAGGCACACTGGCTGAGGAATTCTGGGAGTTGAAGTTCACAAGTCATAAAAGGGCCAAGTCTGAAAACCCCTGCCGTATATATTTCTTGTGACATTAGGGAGCCAACAGATGCTCCCCCAGGGCTGCAGGACTCTGGGGAAATGATCTCGTTCATAGATGTCTACAAAACCTAGCTTGTTGGCAGAAGAAAGGTGGTTAAAACTAGCCCAGTTTCGAAAGAGGGGGCTCTTAAAGAAATGACACTGAGAGTTTTCCAGCCCTTTCAGTTGTTTGAGCAGCACCTACTCCCAAGGTGTGAACGTGAGATCCGGTGTCCGAAACCAGAGACGCTGGCCTTAGTTAAAGCTGCTTTTTAATTATAAGAAGTACAGCTTATTTTCCACAGAAAGTGCTGGAACTAAGACTTGTAAGCTCTCTTGTTAAAAAAAAAAAACGAGAGAGAGAGAGAGAGAGAGAGAGAGAGAGATCTGAAAATGCTGAGTTTTTTTCATTCTTGTTCTATAAGCCTTAAGTCCCAAGAGGACATGGGAGTGGAGGTTATGCTTGTCATTATACAGATACCCCTTGACTTAATGACCATTTGAAATAATAATAATAATGATGATGATGATGATGTTCAGTTGACTGAGATTCATGTATAATAAATAAAAATAATAATAACTTTATTTCAAAATATTTCAAAAAACTGCAGCTTCCTGCAATAACTCCAGCAATGCTACAAAAAACTGTGCTACTCGGAACATCTTACATTTTAAGGAGATACCTGGTTGATACCTAGGATGCTGGCAGCAACCCGCGTCAACCATCAGCGCCAGCCAATTTGAACGTTCAGTTGACTGAGGTTCACGTCTAATGAATAATAATAATAATAATAATAATAATAATAATAATAATAATAATAATAATAATAATATAGGAAGGGACCTTGGAGGTCTTATGGAATAGAATAGAATAGAATAGAATAGAATAGAATAGAATAGAATAGAATAGAATAGAAGCTGGAAGGGATCTTGGAGGTCTTCTAGTCCAGCCCCCTACTCAAGCAGAGAACCTTTAGGTTTCCTGCCTGAGCAGAGGTTGGACTAGATGACCTCCAAGGTCCCTTCCAACATTATTATTATTATTATTATTATTATTATTATTGTTGTTGTTGTTGTTGTTGTTGTTGTTGTTGTTATTGTTATACATTTCACAACAAACAGGTATCCCAATCCCAAAGCCTCAAAGAATGCCTAAAAGCCCACCTACTCTCAGCTCCATTTTGTCAACCAGCCCAGAAACCTGCTGCTGTCACTTTAGTTTCTGGCAACCCAATAAATAAGAGATCTCCATTCCAAAATGTAGCCTGCCTTCCGTTCATTTCTACAGCGTCTTTCTCCTGGCTTGGAACAGAACCAGATTTTGCTTGCAACACACGAATGAGCTTAATATCCCACGGTCCAATATAGTGCATAAAACTTCCTGTTGAACCATTGACAAATTCATGTTTTAAGCACAAAAAAAGGTGACTTCTGGAATGTCCCTTAAGTCCACTGTAAGTAACACAGTTTTTTTCCTCCTTGTCCTTAAAATGTTAACCTCTGCAGCACCCAACTGTTCATTTCACGCCCTTTAAAACAAGGTTGTGCCAGCTGTCAGATGTTTCTCCTGGCTTTGGATGGTCTTTTTCAATTGGTGCAATCCAAGCCAGAAACTCAGACCCTCAGGGCGTTTTAGAAGTGGCTGGCTGGCCAACCTTTGCTAAGTCAGCTTGTTGGGAAGCTAAAAAGGGGAAATGCTGCGAGCGTGGATAAGCGGCAACTGTGTTGTGTGTTTGTGCTGCTGGTGGCCGATAAAACTCCAGCGGTTTTTAGACCAGTGTCTATGGAGAGTCTCAGTCACCCGGTTGTCCCAAAGATGCTTTTTTCAAAAGGCCTTGAATACGTTTTGCTTCTCACCCAAGAAGCTTCTTCAGTTCTAACTGACTGGTGGGGAACGGAAGGATTTATATTCCTTGCAGTCATCTGGTCGTTAGTACTCTGAAGGTTGGCTCTTAGCTCTCAGAGAGTTGTGGAAGAAACTTCAAGGTTTATCTGTATTCTCAGGGTCACCTGAATCAGAGGACTTTTGAAAGGACTGCATTGTAGATTGGAGATGTTCTTCTTGTTAGTTGCAAAGTCGTGTCCGACCCATCATGGCCCTATGGACAACGTTCCTCCAGGCCTTCCTGTCCTCTACCATCTTCTGGAGTCCATTTAAGCTCACGCCTCCTGCTTCAGTGACTCCATCCAGCCACCTCATTCTCTGTCGTCCCCTTCTTCTCTTGCCCTCCATCTTTCCCAACATTAGGCTCTTCTCCAGTGAGTCCTTCCTTCTCATTAGGTGGCCAAAGTACCTGAGTTTCAGCTTCAGGATCTGGCCTTCTAAAGAGCAGTCGGGGTTGATCTCTTCTAGGACTGACCGGTTTGATCGCCTTGCAGTCCAGGGGACTCGCAGGAGTCTTCTCAGATTGGAGATAGGTGATGTCATATCCCTCTATCCCTCCACACCTGTTGAGAGAGGGCTATTCAGTTTTGATGTAGACAGCCTCTTTGACCCCTCTTTCAAACCAGTGGCCCTCTCTGTATGTCTAGTATGTCTTTTCATTAATTAGTATGTTGAGTTTAATGAAAAGAAGGACGAGGGGGGACATGATAGCAGTCTTCCAATATCTCAGGGGCTGCCACAAAGAAGAGGGAGTCAAGCTGTTTTCCTAAGCACCTGAAGGCAGGACATGAAGCAATGGATGGAGACTAATCAAGGAGAGAAACAACCTAGAATTAAGGAGAAATTTCCTGACAGTTGGAACAGCCTGCCTCCAGAAGCTGTGAATGCTCCAACACTGGAAGTTTTTAAGAAGAGACTGGACAACCATTTGTCTGAAATGGTATAGGGCAGGGGTAGGCAACCTTGGCTCTTTTATGACTTGTGGACTTCAACTCCCAGAATTCCTGAGCCAGCATGGCTAAGCATGGAAACCTCTCCCTTTCCCCTCAGCGTGGCTGGCTCAGGAATTCTGGGAGTTGAAGTCCACCAGTCATAAAAGAGCCAAGATTGCCTACCCCTGGTATAAGGCTTCCTGCCTGAGCAGGTGGTTGGACTAGATGATCTCCAAGGTCCCTTCCAACTCTGTTATTCTGACCCAGAATGTGGACTTTTGTGTCTTCAAAAGAGCGACCTTTGTCTTTCAGATGTAGATGGGCTGCTGAATCCTATCCTGATGGGTTTGTCCTCCTGTGTTGTGCCAAGCCTTTGTGATGTGGTTGTTTTGTTTTTCGGCACATCCGCTAACCAGAACTTTCTGACCCCCTCCAGAATTGCCATGTCACCCTTCCTGAGGATTGGGCTGTCCAATTATGACAGCGGCCCCTACCTCCCATCGCAAGGAGACGTGATCGATCCCTATTGCGCCGTGATGGTGAAGGAGGCGGTGGAGGCCGGTAAGCAAATACCTCTTTCCGCCTGGCCATCATTTGCAGTTGGGTGTGAGATGAAGGTCTTCTGGTCCCTTGGATTTCAATTGAGAAATTGGAGAGCGTGAGTTTCAATGATAGCTTAAGGTATTGTTTTCTCTTGGATTTTGACCTTAGCCCCAAGGGAGGCTCTGAATCTCAATGAGGAAAGAAGAGACAAAGAATGGCTATTTAATCTTTTTTCGCGCTGGTCCCTTTCCAGCTCAAAGTTATCCACTTCTCAAACTAACTAACTAACAAAATAAATTAAAAAAAACCCATCAGGTCTCCATTTACCAATAAAGGAGAATATCTGTAGTGGGTGTGATACCAGCACAGCTGCACAAAAGGGGTGGAGCTTTTGTTGGGACCGCTTTTATCGCTTCTCCATCCCTTTACTCCAGGGGTCTTCAAACTTGGCCCTTTTATGACAGGTGGACTTCAATCCCCAGAATTCCTCAGCCAGCCTCCATTTTGTTTGTTAGATTTAAGACAGGGGTCTTCAAACTTGGCCCTTTTATGACTTGTGGACTTCAATTCCCAGAATTCCTCAGCCAGCCTCCATTTTGTTTGTTAGATTTAAGACAGGGGTCTTCAAACTTGGCCCTTTTATGACTTGTGGGCATCAACTCCCAGAATTCCTCAGCCAGGCACGCGTGGCTGGGAGTTGAAGTCCACAAGTCATAAAAGGGCCAAGTTTGAAGACCCCCTGCTTTACTCATTCTGCAAATCTCCGATCAATATCTTTAATTTGAGCTCTACAAATACAACAATACACATTTAACGCTTAAAGTCAGGACCGCCCTCAGATATGGTCAAAATGGCGTCTGCAGTGGTGAATTCAAAGCCCCACCTACTTTTAAAAAAGTGGGTTGCAGGTAAAACACAGTTGTGATCACACCCTCGTGGCCACCAGCTTATCTTTTCGCACTAAACCTGCTCAGAGTAGAAAATAACATAAAACAGGCTCTCTTCTGTGTTAGAAATGTTTACAAGTAATCCTCGACTTACAACGGGCAACTAAATTTCATTTTTGATGTATGCCGTTGTGCCCACAGTAAAAAAAATGACAATAAAGGTATCTTATTTCTTATTATTATTATTTAGTGACCGTTCGAATTTACAACAGCACCAAAAATAATGACAGGAGTACTTTTCAGACTTACGACCACTTCAGCATCCTCAAGGTCACATGACCAAAATTCAGACGCGTGGCCACTGACTCATATTTATGACGGTGTCTGGGGGGGTCACGTGATCCCCTTTTGTGACCTTCTGACAAGCAAAGTCAATGGGAGAAGCCGGATTCACTTAAGAACCATGTGACTCATTTAAGAACGGCAGGGATTCAATTAACGACCGTGGCAAGAAAAGTCGTAAAAAGTCGTAAAATGTTAAGTGAACACTGACTTAACCCCTGTCTCGTTCAGCAACAGAAAGTTTGGGCTGAATGGTGATTGTAAGTCGAGGACCTCCTGTCAATCATGCTAATAATAAAGTCACTGCATTTTGCTGTAGCCTGCTCCGGAAAAATGCTCTTAAATAATGGACTTGCCAAGCTTAGTCAGTTAAATTGTAATTCAAGAGGGCCGGCAGGCTAAAAATAACTCCAGTTAATGCAGAAAAACACTTGGTCGCGAACCGAAAGGTCAGGAGAATTAATGCAATTTGCACACTCGGGTGCCTATACAGTACATATTCTCCACAACATCCTTCAGCCAATGAAAGAACTCACTAAGAAAATTTGAAAATCCTGTGGCATTTACTAAAACGAGTAACCACAGAACTAGGGGCAGGTGAATAATCACATTTCGTTTCTATCAAGTTCCTGGGTTTGTTTGTTTTTTGTGAATTTGACAAATTTAATTCATCAGATTTGAGATGATTTACCCATTTTGGTTAAATTTTTTCCCCCAAACATAAACATTTTCCTTTGGCGTGTTTGGGTTCAGAAAAGGCTATGAATTTGCACTGAATTATCGCTAGTCCTCGACTTACAACAGCTTGTTGTAAGTTCAAAGTTACAACGGCACTGAAAAAACTAACTTATGGCCGTTTTTCACACACGCCATTGCAGCATCCCCTTTGGTCAAAATTCTGATACTTGGCAAATGACTCATATTTGTGACGCTTGCAATGTCCCGGGGTCACGTTTTGCGACCTTCTGACGAGCAAAGTCAATGGGTTCACTTTATAACCGTGTTACTCACTGAGCAGCTGCAGTGATTCACTTAACAACTGAGGCAAGAAAGGTCGTAAAATAGGGGGAAAACTTCACTTAACAGCTGTTTTGCTTAGTGATGGAATTTGGGGGGGGATTAATTCAAGTTGTAAATCGAGGACTATCTGTATTGGAAGTTTTCTCCCGTTGATGAGGACCTAGAAAAGTTTGGAACAACTGAGAAAAATTGAGGGTGGAGAATATTGTCCACCCCTGAGACAGAGAAAGAGAGAGGGGGTGGTGATAGGCATGTTGGGACCCAGAGTTGTGCATTTTGGCTGGTGTTTTGCAATGTTCCCTATGTTTTGATGGCGTTGTGCGTATAAAAAAGGAATTACTACTGTCCATCCTAGAGAAAGGCCAAGTGTTTGTCCAGAAGAAGCCGACAATGTATCCACCTTGGAACAGCACTTTTGATGCCCACATCCACAAGGGCCGGGTCATGTCCGTTGTGGTGAAGGACAAGACTGCGGAGATGGTCTCGGAGACCACCGTGGAACTCAACCTTGTTGCTGAAAAGTGCAAGAAAAGTAATGGGAAAATTGAAATTTGGGTAAGTTTCAACACCGTGGACCAGCATTAACTTTTAAAATCTTTCATATATTGGGCTTCAGTCATCCTCCCTCCCTCAATTTCCCCTTCCTTCCTTCCTTCCTTCCTTCCTTCCTTCCTTCCTTCCTTCCTCCCTCCCTCCCTCCCTCCCTCCCTCCCTCCTTTTCTTTTTTCATTTGATTTCTTTCCTTCTATCCTCCCTCCCTGGGTCTTTCCTTCCTCTCTTCCTTCCTTCTTTCCTTCCTTCCTTCCTTCCTTCCTTCCTCCCTCCCTCCCTCCCTCCTTCCTTCCTTCTTTTTCTTCTTTCATTTGATTTCTTTCCTTCTATCCTCCCTCCCTCCTTCCTTCCTCCCTCCCTCCCTCCTTCTTTTTCTTCTTCCTTTTGATTTCTTTCCTTCTATCCTCCCTCCGTGACTCCTCATCTCCCTCCCTCCCTCCCTCCCTTCCTCCTTCTTTCTTTCTTTCTTTCTTTCTTTCTTTCTTTCTTTCTTTCTTTCTTTCTTTCTTTCTCTTTCTCCTCTCCTCTCCTCTCTCTTCCTTACTCCCTCTCTCTCTTCTTTCTCTTTTTTCATCCTTTCCTTCCTCCTTCTACCCCTTTCTTCTTCCCTTCTTCTTTCTTTTCCTTTCCTCTCTCCTTTCCTTGTCAATTTGTAAAACCCCACTTCCATAGTAAGCCCGGACTGGGTATATTAGTAAAAAGAAACCTCTGATTTAAAAGAAAAAAACTCTGGTTGCGTTCCAATTTCCTTTTTAAATTCTATTTCATTGTCTTCTCTTTCAGCTTGAACTAAAACCCCAAGGAAGGATGTTAATGAACGCAAGATACTTTTTGGAAAGTACCGGCAAGTATCAATATTGCTCATGTGCTTTTCAGTGCGTTTTAGCATTCCACCCCCATCCTTGCCCAACTTGAAAGCAAGAATATTTTGAAATAAAAATTTAAAAATTGATCAGGGCTGCAGAAAAATTCCTCAGCACCCCATTTTTCCACATATGGGTAGTCCTCGTCTTACGACCACACAATGCAGCCCAAAATTTCCATTGCTAAGCAAGATAGTCGCTAAGTGAGTTTTGCCCCATTTACAACTTTCTTGCCACAGTTGTTAAGTTAGTAAAACGGGTATTAATTGAATCTGGCTTCCCCATTGACCTTTGGACCTTGTCAAAAGGTCGCAAAAGGGGATCATGTGACCCCGTCATAAATATGAACCAGTTGCCAAGGATCCGAATTTTAATCACATGACCATAGATGGATGGTGCAACGGTCGTAAGTGTGAAAAACGTCCATAAGTCACTTTTTTCTGTGGCGTTAGTAACTTCGGCCACTAAATGAACTGTTGTAAGTCGAGGACTACCTGTATTTACTCATTTGAGTCCTCCCTCTATATTTGCTGGATATTTTCTGCCTCAAGGTGTACTTGTATCCATCCTGTTTCAAGGGTTTCAAAGAAAGGCTGAATCCCTTTCACACGACTGTCCCTTTTGCTATAAAACTCGATGTGGTGTTTTGTTTTGTTTTCCACATGATGGCCTCTGTTTTGACATAGTTTAATGCAGACATGTCAAACTCGCGATGTCACATGACATCACACAACATATCGGGGCTTTTTCCCCATTGCCGGCAATGGGGCGGCCGTGGTTTCCTCGTGACGCATCCGGCCCGCGGGCTGGCAGTTTGACACTCCTGGTTTAGTGTTTCCCAAATCTTGGCAGCTTTAAGATGGGTGGACTTCAACTCCCAGAATTCCCGAGGCTGGCTGGGGAATTCTGGGAGTTGAAGTCCACCCATCTTAAAGCTGCCAAGATTTGGGAAGCACTGCCCTAGTTTACAACTCAGTTTGGGAACTGCTGACTTCAACCATAATAGAATAACAGAGTTGGAAGGGACCTTGGAGGTCTTCTAGTCCAGGGCTTTTCAACCAGTGGTACGGGTACCACCTGTGGTACATTGGCACCTGGCAGGTGGTACGCAACCATCCTAGAAAAGTGGTAGCGGGGGAGGGGAATGAGCTGAACCGGTGGCAGCACCGCACAAGCCTGAGCGAGAGACGGCTGGAGCTGCAGGGCTGTCGGGGCTCAGTGGAAGCGCCAGGATCAGTGCAGGCTCCAGCTACAGCTCAGCACTGATCCTGGTGCTTCTGCTGAGCCCTGTAGAAGCACCAATCAGCTGGAAAGCAGCACTGATCCTGGTGCTTCTGCTGAGCCCAGAAGAAGCGCTGATCAGCTGGAATGTTGCAGCCTCTCCAGGGTCTTGTGATTTACATTCAGATGCTTGGCAACTGATTCATATTTATGACGGTCACAGTGGCCCAGGGTCATGTGAAGTGACCAAAACCTGCTGCAACCACCCAGCAGATGGGGGGGGAATAAAAACCAAACACCCCCCCACCCCACCCCCATTGCCAATCCTCAACAGAAATGCTCACAACAATGAAAACCTCGGACAGGAGGAAGAGCGCAGCCGGGCGGGCAGGCAGGTGTCTTCCTCGGCTGTGGCTTGGGGGGCACTTTTTTTAGTGCCATTGTAACTTCGAACAGTCACTAAGCGAACTGTTGTAAGTCAAGGACTACCTGTACTTCATCACTTTTTTCCTTTTGGGGGGGGGAGGTCATCAAGTTTTTGACATCTTGCTAGGTGACTGGTGGTACTCGGATATTGCCATATCCTAAAAGTGATACAATGGGTGAAAAAGTTGAAAAGCCATCTAGTCCAATGCCCATCAGCCTCAGCAAAATCAGTTAGGGGAATTGTGATCTGGCAACATCTAGAAGGGTTTTGCATTTTGGGGGGGTTCAAGAAGCCAGCATTTAAGATTATGGAGATTGTGTTTAGTGCACCCATCTAAACCCCAATCTAAACAACCATTCTTCTCAAGATGCTAGTTTTTTCACAAGCAAGAAAAGTATCGAATCTCCCCCCCCCAGCAAACACATTTCTGGTAAAGTCCAGAAATAACATAAGCACCGCTAAATTCTCCTGATGGTAACAGTGGCTGTAAAGATTATAGGAAGTGTGCCTGGTTATTTTTATCATTTGGGGTGTTTCTTCACAGTTTTTCGAACTGTTTTAAATATGTGTTATTTAAGTTCATGGCCTGACCACCGAATTTCTTCCTTCGGTGCTACCTCTTTCTTTTTCTGCCTCTTACTCAGATGATCCAGAGTTTATCGACTGCGAAAAGGAGGGTTTTTTCTCGCTACATCAACGGAGGGGAGCCATTAAGCAAGCGAAGATTCATAATGTCAAGTGCCACGAGTTTACAGCCACTTTCTTCCCCCAGCCCACGTTCTGCTCTGTTTGCCACGAATTTGTCTGGTACGACCAAGGGGTTTTTTGGGGGGTGGGTCTGTGAAGGACAGGATGGAGTTTTCTTTCCTGATGGAAAGATGCTTCCTGTGGAGAGCTGTTATGATCCATTGGTGAAAAGAGCTGCTATGATCCATTGGTCAAAAGAGCTGCTATGATCCATTGGTCAAAAGAATTGTTATGATCCATTGGTCAAAAGAGCTGTTATGATCCATTGGTCAAAAGAACTGTTATGATCCATTGGTCAAAAGAGCTGCTATGATCCATTGGTCAAAAGAACTGTTATGATCCATTGGTCAAAAGAGCTGTTATGATCCATTGGTCAAAAGAGCTGCTATGATCCATTGGTCAAAAGAACTGTTATGATCCATTGGTCAAAAGAGCTGCTATGATCCATTGGTCAAAAGAACTGCTATGATCCACTGATCAAAAGAATTATTATGATCTATTGGTCAAAAGAGCTGCTATGATCCATTGGTCAAAAGAGCTGCTATGATCCATTGGTCAAAAGAGCTGTTATGATCCAGTGGTCAAAAGAGCTGCTATGATCCAGTGGTCAAAAGAATTGTTATGATCCATTGGTCAAAATAACTGTTATGATCCATTGGTCAAAAGAGCTGTTATGAACCATTGGTCAAAAGAACTGTTATGATCCATTGGTCAAAACAATTGTTATGATCTATTGGTCAAAAGAGCTGCTATGATCCATTGATCTAGTTGCTAAGATTCATTAACGCTAACCATACATCCATAGCTATTAGTCTTATTTGGGTTGAGATGAAGCATCCTAACCCAGCCTCAAAGAGCTTTAGATGAGACCTCAGCAGCACCACTTTAACCCTGATTAACCATCATGGACTGACATGTGCAGCTTCCTGTTGAAAGCTGTTAAAGACCCACTGGTCAATCGTTTCTACTGTTGTAGGAGGAGAAAAACCATCAGGAGCAGATGGAGAATCTCCAGCCCTGAAAGAACCATGTATCCATAGATATTTGGTCCCATCTGGGTTGAGATGAAGCATCTTCATCCTCACCGGCTTTAGATGAGACCTCAAGAGCATCACTTGGTTGATCAGGGTTTGAGATCTGCAGCTTCCTATTGCGAGCTGTTACGTTCCAGTGGCATCAATTTGAGTTCAAAAAAATCAGACGAATTCCCCTTGAGGGTCAAAAACATGTCAATTGGGAATCCTTCTTGATCTAGATTTGATCCATTCCAATTTGGTTTCCTAATCTGAACCAATCTGATGGGTCAACTGGATTTAGAAAGTTGAATTGAATTATCAAAATTGGATTTGCTTCACTTGGTTTTTCCGACTGGATAAATCTGCCTTTTTCAGATGCTGCAGGACTTTTGATCCTCTGAATCAAATGAGGTTTTTTTTTAATTTGACAAGTTAAATTCAATAAGCTTGAACACAAATCACTGCGTTTATTGATTTTTTTAAAAAGTCATTTTTCTCAAATGCAGACATGATTTGAAATCTCTTTTATATTAATACTGTTTTTCCTTTTTATTCCAGGGGGCTTAACAAGCAAGGCTACCAGTGCAGACGTAAGATCTTTCAGTATACTATATTTATATGTTGATGGTTATCATAACTGTGCAATGGTCCTTAATACTCTGCTGAAAAGCTTGAGAATGAATTAAGAATAATTAAGTAATTACAGAAATCCCTGCAATTATTTTTTTAAGTGTTCCAATCCTGTTCATATTTTCACTGTTTTCACAACCCAGTATGTTTCCAAATCATTGTCCATCCCTGAGAAAGAAAATAGACATTATGGGGTCTGTTTTTCTTAGGGTTTTCAGGAAGAAAAATTAGTTCCAAGAATAAGAAGCCAGAATCAAGGGAGAAATTATTTCCTGATTTAATTGAAACCTTCGGCTTTCCATCTCAGTCAAAACACAGAGTTACTCGATGTCGTTTTTCTGCCCTCTAAACTGGAGCCATCTCAAACTTTAGAACAATTCAACCCTTTTTTCAGATTGACAGTCATAATTTGAGTACATGCTGGGAGCTGCACTCTCAAAAAGAATAAAAAGAAAACCTTGCCTAAAATTAGATTTAACCGACACTATTAATTAATTTAATATCAGGACTACATCTAGCTGTAAAGGTGTAATTGTGCTCTCCTTCCATCATATCAAAATGACAATTGTGGGTGGAATTTAGCAAAGCCCCAGTGATTGCTCCTGAGACTGGAGAGGCTGGGAATCCTACACACACACACACACACACACACACAGCACAGACACACAAACACACCTCAAATTCCTTCTCTATTTTTTTAGCTGCCTAGCTTTGGTCTCTGAACTTCAGGAATTCTAGAGACAAATTTTATGCAAGGCTGAACTTGAAAAAAAACCCAGAATAACAAAGTTGGATGGGACCTTGGAGGTCTTCTAGCTGAACCCCCTATGCAAGCAGGAAACCCTATGCCATTTCAGACAAATGGTTTTCAAAGGGGATTTGAATGAATATCTCCCAGAAGAAGGGGTAAGGAACTGTTCTGACTGGGACCACATTGAATTCTTTCCTTCGCCCCATCGTGCTGTATTTCTGTCCAGCAGTGTGTAAAAGAGTACACACTATTTGTGTTGTGGTCCTTCTGTGTCCCCTGTAAAACTTGTTAGCGAAGTGGGTCTCTTTTTTCCCTCAGAATGCAATGCTGCCATTCACAAGAAGTGTATCGACAAAGTCATCGCAAAGTGTACCGGATCGGCTATCAACAGTAGAGAAACCATGGTAGGTTTTGGCTTGTGTTATTTTTGTGACTTGTTGATTAGCTAGAGCAGGGGTAGGCAACCTCGGCTCTTTTATGACTCATGGACTTCAACTCCCAGAATTCCTGAGTCAGCATGGCTCAGCATGGAAACCTCTCCCTTTCCCCTCAGCATGGCTGGCTCAGGAATTCTGGGAGTTGAAGTCCATGAGTCATAAAAGAGCCGTGGTTGCCTGCCCCTGAGCTAGAGTCATACAAGGCACTAAACTTGGTTATAATAACCTTGATTTGAGTGACAGAACAGTCACTAAAGCAGGGGTCTTCAAACTTGGCAACTTTAAGACTTGTGGACTTCAACTCCTAGAATTCCTCAGCCAGCCCTGAGGGCTGGCTGAGGAATTCTGGGAGTTGAAGTCCACAAGTCTTAAAGTTGCCAAATTTGAAGTCTCCTGTAGGTGGCTGAGGAATTCTGGGAGTTGAAGTCCACAAGTCTTAAAGTGGCCAAGTTTGAAGACCCCTGTCATAGCAGGCTGTGCGAAGCCAGTTCTTTTAATAAGTTACTAGCTCGGGGTACAATGAGAATACCTCCAAAAGTAATTGAAACCTGTTGCTGAAGTAATTCTTAATACAATACCAGATAGTCCTCGACTTAACAACCACAATCAAACGACCACAATTTATGTCGCTAAGTGAGACATTTGTTAAGTGAGTTTTGTCCCATTTTACGAACTTCCTCAAGTGAATCAACTGAAGTTGTTAAGTTAGCTGTTAAGTTAGTAACACAGTTGTTAAGTGAATCTGGCTTCCCCATGGACCTTTTGACTTTCAAATGGTGGCAAAAGGTAATCACATTACCTCCGGGACACTGTAAACATCACAAATGTGAGTCAGTTGCCAAGTGCCGAATTTTAATCCTGAGATCGCAGGGATACCGCAACCGTCATAAGTGTAAAAAACAATCATGTCATTTTTTCAGTGCTGTTGTAACGTGGTACAGTCACTAAACGAGTGGGTATAAGTCAGGGACTATCTATAAATCATACAAATCCAACACTAACTAAGATTCAGTATATTGTGTGAAGGCACCCCGCTTGTATTTTTATGTTTTATTGATTGTGTTGCAATTTTTTTGATTGTTGTGAGTCTCCCAGAATCGTGGAGAGTTGGGCAGTACACAAACATAAACGATTACATATACCACAAAAATTGTTTTTAATCATACGACAATGTGTGAAATCACAGCTGCCTGTTCAAAGCTACAGGGGTGTGTTTTACAACTTCTTTCCCTCCCTTTTTCTTCCAGTTCCACAAGGAGAGGTTTAAGATTGACATGCCCCATCGCTTCAAGGTCTACAATTATAAAAGCCCCACCTTCTGCGACCATTGTGGAACGCTGCTCTGGGGCCTGGCACGGCAGGGCTTAAAATGCGATGGTGAGTTGGGACCGCTGGTGCTTTGGAGATAAGTGGGGGGATCTCCAGCATGACTTTTGAGCCACACTAAAGGTAGTCCTCGACTTACGACCACAATTGAGCCCAAAATTTATGTTGCTAAGTGAGACAGTTGTTAAGTGAGTTTTGCCCCGTTTTACGACCTTGTGTCTAGTTGTCTTGGCATACAATGCCCTATAGCACCATAATGAAATGCAATGAAAGGTCTGCAAGAAAACAACCAAGCTCAGAGAACACCAAGGACCCCAGTCCTCCACCACCTCCTCCTCCTCCTCCTCCTCCTCCTCCTCCTCCCC